ATTATCGTAATACCCATCACCACCACCATCATCCTCATCCTCATCCTCATCCGACTCCTCCTCCTCATCCGCATCATCATCCTCATCATCAGCATCATCATCAACAGCATCACCATTATCTCCATCACCATCATCTCCGACAGCATCAGTATCGTCATCACCTTCATCATCCACAACAGCACCATGATCATCATCATCAGCACCACCATCATCATCAGCATCTTCACCACAATCATCATGGACAGCACCATCATCAACAACATCATCATCTCCATCACCATCAGTACTTGCATCGTCATCACGATCCCCATCTTCTTCCACATTCTCATCTTCATCCTCAACATCTATTCATCATCCCCACCATCAACATCATCATTATCATCATCAACAGCATCACCATTACTTTGTCACCGTCACCATCAAACACATCACTATCATCATCACCATGATCATCACCACCATCCTCATCCTCATCAACACCACCATCATCATCATCATCCTCACCCTCACCCTCATCCTCATCCTCATCTTCATCCTCATCCTGATCCCAATCCTCATCCTCGTCATCATCCTCATACTCATCCTCATCATTCTCATCATAATCACCATCACCATCATCGTCATCATCGTCCTCATCCTCATTCATCCTCATCCGCATCATCATCATACTCATCCCCGTCATCCTCATCCTCATCATTCTTCTCCTCCTCATCATCATCACCACCCTCATGCTCATCATCCTCATCCTCATCATGATCCTCATCCTCATCCTCATCAGCAACATCATCACTATCTTCAGCACAATCATCATTATCATCAACACGAGCATCACCATCATGACCATAATCATTATCATTATCACCATCACGATCACCAACACCAGAACCATCACCATCATCCTGATACCGATCCTGATCCTGATCCTCATCATCATCCCCTTCCGTCTCCTCCTCTGACTCTATCCGCCAGGCCATGGCCGAGGGCGCATGAAACTTGTGGGGGTAAGCGCCACGTCGCTGGAACCCGGGCGAAGCTCGTCGTCCTCCTCCATGGTGCGAAAAGGTCTCCATAAATAGGCGCCTCCCCCCGTTTCAATTTTGTGATTTGCGAGTCGTTCCCTCTGGGTCTGTCCCAACCTATCCTCATCCAACTCCTCATCTTCTTCCTCCTCCCAATCCCTCTCTGCAACGAGACAGTATGATGGAATGGATACTGCTCTCCTCTATCCCCTGAAGGTGCCTGGAAGATGACGGGCCCTTTTTCGCGTGCTGTTTCTCCCACGCAGGAGGGAGGAGGGAGGGAGGAGGCAGGATGCAGGAAGCAGGAGGGAGGAGGGAGGAGGGAAGAGGGAGGAGGGAGGAGGGAGGAGGAGGAGGAGGAGGAGGAGGAGGAGGAGGAGGAGGAGGAGGAGGAGGAGGGGAGGGAGGAGGGAGGGAGGAAGGAGAGGAGGGAGGAGGAGGAAGAAGAGGATTTCGAACGCTGATTTTCTGGTGTTACCGTTTTGCAGTCTGATTACTTTCGGTTTTTCAAAACGGTGCTCGGCGCTCTGTGCTCCCGTCGTTCCTAGTGGCGCTCTCGCCCCAGCGCGGGCCACTTTTTTGGATCCGAGTGGTTCAGTATTGTCGCCCCCATCATCCCCTCCTCCGCCTTCCCCTGGTCCTCCTGTTCATCCCGCTTCTTCCGCTCTCATTCCTGCTGCTGCTGTTCGTCCTCGGCCTCTTCCTCCCGCTCATCCTCATCTTCCCGTGCACGCAGCTCCCCTCTTTCCCATTGCCCCGACACGCCCCCTGGGGGCGCCGAAGTACCACTTGCCGAGCACGTCCGCGCCGCCCACCTGCACCAACGGGTCGATTGGCAAATCCTGCGGCCACGAGCCCGGAGGAGGGGGCAGCTCAGACATCGGCCGACCCACCTGCTCCTCCTGCTGCTGCTCTGGGGAAGGAGGACGAGACGGAGGAGAGGAGAAGAGGGACGGAAGGAGGAGGACGAGTAAGAGGCGGTAGGAGCAGGAGGAGAACGAGGAAGAGTGACCAAAGCAGTAGGAGCAGCAGTAGGAGCAGCACAGCTCCTTGGCCGCCTCCCTGACCTCCGCGCGCAGCTGCAGCTTCTGGAACGCCGCTTCGGGCGTCTCCAGAGCCTCGGAGACCTCCTCGGAAACCTGGGAGACCTTGGGGGGAGGCCAAGAGGGTGCCGAGCAGCTGAGCGCCACCCCCCGCCCGACATTCGACACATCATCTTCTTGCATCCTCCTCCTCCTCCTCCTCTTCTCCTCCCAGTGCCAACCACACCGGTCCTTCAGCAGAGTGTGGCTCCCTCCTTCTCCTCCTCCTCCTTCTCCCCTTCTCCCATTCTCAGACTCTTCTACCCCTCTTCTCTTCCACCCCTCGTGGACGTTATCCTCATCTCCCTCCTCCTCCTCCTCCTCGTCCTTCTCGTTCTCGTGCTTTTCCTCTTCCCCCCGCTCCTTCTTCTCCATCCTCGTCCCCCTCTCTAGCCCTGT